TCACCAGCAGTCGCGCGAAAAGCCGACTGTGACGTCAGTCCGTGAAAGCCGACTGCCGCCGTTGTCATCAACATCGTCGTCGTGGTAGTGACCATTGTTACACATATTGTGTCATATCAGACGAAAATTACATCGGAAAATTTGCATCAGTGAGGATTCCAAGATGAAACGTGCAAGCGATGATGCGTAGATGTCGGAGATGTTCTGCTGTGTTCGGCGCTTCTGGAGCTTTACGTGCTTGAGTGTCATGGAGCATTAAGCTGGCGTCCAGTTTAAAGTGTGGCGTAATAGCAATCGTACGCTCAATATACACATGAAGAAGCGGTTTTCTTGAAACGCATTTCCATTTACGCTACTCTCTTGGCAGATATCGTATTTTGGGATCGAACGCATCAGCGTTGCGTTAGGCGCTCCCGCTGGCCGGGGTATCCTGACGAAAGGTCGGAATCGCCGGGCTCATCATACTGCGAAAGTCAGCACAGCTCCGCAGTGGCGATGAGTACGAGCAAGCTCAGCTCCAGTCGCGTGAAAAGCCGGCTGTCACCTGAGTCCGTGAAACCCGACTGTGACCTGAGTCCGTGACAGCTGTTCCGAGAGCGGCGCTCCTGGTTCAGGTGGCGCTACTATCGCAACCCCTGCTGGTAAAGGTGGCAGGTCGAGCAGCCGATGCGGTGGCATTGGGAGCCCATTCACGGGTGCCGATTTACCTTCTTTTGTGAGGGTTCTCCCCGATGTTGAGTTGCTCCCCCCCCCCCACACCCCCAATGTTGGCTTAGGCCCCTCCAACGATTTTGGTTGGAATGCTATAAAGGCGCAGGGATAGTTATCATCACACAAAGTTTTATCATTCTGCGTAATAGTGCCGCGGTGGCTGGTACAGATTCAGATAAGTTTGTCAGGCACCTCCATTCCATCGGTTAAATGACGTATGCGTCAATACATGATAGCACAATACAACACCCACAATGTGTGCGTAATGCATTGTGTTCAATACCTGATAGATCAAGCGCGTATGAGAAAAACAAGTGCAATTATCCACACACAGTATAAATCAAAGGTGATTCGGGAAAATATGGGAGGTAAGATACACCGAGGTAACTTGATTCCCTCAACCTTAAAGTTATTTCCTCAAATGATGGATAGCTTGTGATGATGGAAGCTAAGCCCTTTAATATAGGATGTGTTTTTTGCTCATCAAACACAACCCCAGACGTTTTTTCAGGAGCCTAAACATGACATCAACGATTCTGAGTCTCTAGTCTCGTGGAAGGTTTTATTCCAAGCGGTCTTTCGTCGGCTTCCAATGGAAGGCTATGAACCTACCACTGTTTCACATAAAACCCAATCTTTTTCGGTATAGTCTGATGAGAAAACACAATCGGACAATAAAATGCTATTTTTGGTGCGGCATCGTTGGTTCGAAATATAGGCTCAACTATGAAATCGAATCCTCTGTACACAAAGCCAGACGAGAGTCCTACTAGAACATATTTTGAATGCGATTTCGTACTGAAATTAATCAACTGCTTGCTTCCCAAGCTACCATTCTATTCTTGTAATGCAGGTGCACCGGCCCAGTTCTTCTTCGGGCTCTGGTCGAAAAGGCACGAAAATACCTTAACCGCGTAATGAAATAAAATGACTCTCGGCTGCACTGTAACGAGACTGAAACTGTTGAGCCACGTCGGCAAAATAGTCCTCTTTGGCGAGCCATGTACGCACACTTGTTCCCCAACACGAACCCTCCATCACGCGTTTCGCCACATCACGCATGTGGTCAGCATAACTTCAGCGCTCTATACAAGTTCGGGTTCGGCAACGACAATTAGTGTGACCTTGCGACAATATAGCTTTTTGCGGGCATTTTGCGCTTTGCAACTGACGGGTTCAAAGAAAGGCAAAGCCACATAACCGTCGCATCACTAACTATTCGTGCCCCAAGATATTACAGGTGATCTAAAAGGGAGCCAGCTGCGCTAAGCTTGGATGAATGCATGTCACCACTAAAAATTACGTTGATATTGTTGCTACGCATTTCTACACTGACACTTATTTTAAAGTGAAAATAAGAGTAAAACTTATTTTAAAGGCTGGTGTATTATAGCTATTTTATGCTTAAGGAAGGTAAACCTACGTAAAATTGAAACGTCTTTTTAAATATGGCAGACCTCCATTTCACTGATATTCATGATATGAACTCACGGTTGCCAAATTTTGAGAAAAATTGTTCAAAATATCATTTGAACTTTGGGCAAAATAAGACCAAACTTCACACCGGTATCCAAAGTTCCTCTGGACCTCTTCATCCAACCGTTTGAACCATAGTGACCTGTTCTGAGCAGAGGGTCATAGGTCTTTGCTTCGGGTCAGTGACCTTATCTGAACTTTAAACGGTCACGGTGATAACCAATGTATGAAGAAACTATACAACACATAAGCCTATATGCATTGTTTTACTCTTTATAGAAACAAGCATGAATAAATACGGTAGGCGGTTTGTTCTAAAAAAATACAGTTGATAGGGGTATTTTAGGTCAGTGATCTTCTCTGAACTACAAGAAATCCATATGAGATGTCCGTTGATGTCCCAGTAATTAAGAAGTTCAAACGGAGTATCAAAAGCTACCCCTAATAGCACGTTCGTCATCGCTAAAACATTTTGATTTTGACCGCAGTTTAAATTTTATACTTGACCCCAATTTCAGTGAGGTTAGTCATTATTCTAACTTTAACTGGCTAGCTATCTAGAAATGTACTTCAGAGATGTATGTCTTGGTTTAACATGCTGTCGCATCAGATTGAGCAATTTCCCAGGAATTGCACTTGCTTAAATTCATGTCCTGATTTCTGCCATAGGTCGGCGACCTAACCAGGTACATCAAACTGTCTATGCGTAAAGATCCGTTATTCAGTTGCCTACAGCTACGCAAAATCTGGCCAAAACTTGGTCGTTAAGAGCCGAATGCTTAACTCACTATAGAAACGTTTGCTTGTTGTATATACACCTGCCAACACTGGAACGGCCACGCCGCGCCGGTCGGACATTATTCTGGGAAGCGTTCGGAGGGGGAGTAGGCTTAAGTCGATCTCCGACCCGAGTGTGTGCTAAGAATAAGTAGCTATGTGACGGTCTTATTAATGGTGCATGTATTATGTAGACCACATCTACAACTAGGCGATCCTGATGGTTTTTATGACACATTTTTATGCATTAAATGTAAGCAGTTTGCTTTTAGCCTAAATCCCATACACGTATTGATCAATGATACTTGTCAATGCCATGGCAAAAATTTTGGTCGAAAAATGGGTACGGCACCAAACTGAGCCTAAGATTTTTGCGCACCGCTCACATGTCACTAGAAACTCTTAATTTGAATATAGCAGCAATGTTTTGTCGTGAGAAGGGGCACGCTAGCAAAGAACTCGAATACAATTGAAGTAGGTTGAGCTATTTGGTCGGATGGCTCGGTCTCCAATCCTAGCAGCTGGATCCGTTGCTGCAGCCGGATGTTTGACTTCCCCATAAAAACGCATGCTCCTTGTACGTAGCAGTGCATCTACCTTAACACCAGGCCCTTGTAACCAAAGATTGTGGCTGCTCTAACCACCATATAAATTCGTCACAACAGTGAGGATAAACGATGCAATTAGCGTTACACATCCGAAGCCATAAAGAACGCCGAGGTTTGTGAGATTAAAGTAAAAAGTTCTGGAGTACTGGAGTAGCCTAAGTCCTTCATGGCTAAGGCCCGTCCCCACAACCAAAAAACGTGCCGCCTTCCTATGGCCGCCATAGAATAGCGCCTTCTGCGCCCTAAGGCGGCCATTACACAGGCGCATTCACGTGCCGATCAGAAGAGGCACGTGCGACCAGGTGCCTGCTCTCCGTACCTGCCTTTTCATGACTATAATGTGCTGCTCAGATAAAGAACTTGCTTATGAATTATATAAAAACGAAAAACATATATAGTCGGTAATTAAACAAAGTAGGGCTGAATCCAGTGATAACAATGGAGGGCGTAGGTTTTTGGAGCTTCGGCTTCGGAATCCTATGATTTACCAAAATTGACACCCGTGCACTCATTAGTATCGCCGTTGCAGATTTCTTTGACGACTTTGATCAGCGATGGTAGTCAACACCGTTGTCACTGCTGAATGATGCTCCCAATATCAATCGCCTCTGCCAAGTGCCACTGTGGTTTATGCAGATGTTAGACGTGCCCTCAGAAAAGACGCTTCGCTTCGCTTCATGAAAGCGGCACCCACGCCAGCAAATTGTGCTGCTCTCTCCCGCGCTAGATGGCTTAAGATCGCACACGATGTACGTCGCCGTAGCCATTTCGAAGTTCCGCTATATGACTTCATCGGCAGCCCGAAGCGGCTTTGGTCATTCATTATATCCTCAAATCGTCTCGCCTCTGAATTGCATCCTTGGTTCACAAAGGATGTCCATACTGCAGTCTACTGAGTCGCTCAAATTTGTTCAGCAAATTATTCAGTTAAAAATTTGTGCATCATGATTTTGGCACAGAGCCTGAAACCACGGCTTTTCACGCCTTTAACGTGACGCAATGTAAGGTGTCAAATTTCAGCTCTCAAGCAGAGCAAAATCTGTTCGTAATCGCACAACACAAGGTGTCGGCCAAAATGGCCGTGAAAAGTAAAACGGCTTTCCTTCGCCTTCTTTGGCATCGGTATAAATCGCTCCCGAGCGCCCAAAACAGGTTGGCGGACTGACACGCGATGCGATGCGTTCGAGCGATGCGATACTATCCTGGATCGAGCGACATGTAGCATATGGTGAGCATGACGCAGAGAGAACCTGTCAAAAGGCACTCCGAGCCCCTCAAGGGCCGCACAATAGCACGAAACACCAAGAATGTCCGAGCCGCCAGTCACGTGGCCGTGTCGGACGAGTGACGCTCGTTCAGACGGTGACCTTCGCCGCAGCTGCCCGAGAGACGGGATGAGTTCTCGAGGTCGTTAGTGACTGCCGCGCGCGCACACGAGAACCATGCAGGACTACGTGGTGATCTCGCTCGTCGTTCTCGTCGGTTTCGGTAAGCTTTTGAAAGGCGTCAAGGCTCAGGAGGTGTGTGTACCGGCGATGCACGTTCGTTATTCATGCGCAGTGCATATACATATACGCACATGCTAACAAAGGGCTATAAGAGTGCACCAGCTTGTGATGAACTGCATTGGTCTCGGTCTAGGCTCTGGAGCGTGTCACATCAACAGGTCATTCTAATGTAATAATATTTGTAGCTAAGTGTCATGTCTTAATTTATCCGGATCGCACATATTTTTGACTCGTTGTTCGGCCCGGCAGTGACCTATTGACGTGTGACATGGCGAACCACAAAGACCCATGAGTGGAAGGCCGGGCGCTACAATCGCGGTCGGAGAGAAAGGGGTGTGGTACGTCTGCTTGATGACTGCGGCTCGTCTGATTGCGTCTGCTGGCTGGCTGTGGCTCGTCTGCTGGCTGACTGTGGCTCGTCTGTTGGCTAGCTGTGGCCGGCCTGTTGGCTGGCTGTGGTTCGGCCGTTGGGTGGCTGTGGTTCGTCTGTTGGCTGCCTGTGGCTCGTCTGTTGGCTAGGCTGTGGCTGGCCTGTTGGCTGGCTGTGGTTCGGCTGTTGGCTGGCTGTGGTTCGGCTGCTGGGTGGCTGGCTATGACTCGTCTGCTTGATGACCATGGCTGGTCTGCTTGATGGCTGCGGCTCGTTAATTTGATGGCTACGTCTCGTCTCCAAGCTTTGTTGCTGTCAGACCCGGCAAGTGTCTCTGGCAATGGAGGACATGTTGGGATTCAGGGGATAACCGCAGTAAGAAATTGCAGAGTGCAAATCACGACAGAAAACATGTCAATCTATGTTTCCTCAATTTTCTGTTGTCTCGGCATTTCCAAACTGCAGCCGCCTGATCCCCTGGTGTTGTCAACGGCGGACCGGGCGCTGTGCAGCACTGTCTCCGACTAGGCTGGCCTTGAATTCGGCTGAGGTTTTGTTCACTTTCCTTTAAAGCATGACGCTGCGCAAGCTGCCCAAGGACCTCGCCGCCGGCGGGCGGGCTTATGGTCGTCCGGCCCAAGATCGCCTGAGGCCCGGAGCATGCAGCTCAGCACTGCAGGAGTATCGCAGACGATTATCGAGCCAACAAAGCTTCCCTGACACTGACTAACCACAAAAAAAACGCCCAAGGGCCGCCAGTTATGCCGTTGAACTTCATTTTCATCTTGGTATCGAACCATTTACAGCCAAATGAACACAATGGCACACATCTTGCATTTTTGGCCTATATTCGTGTCCAGAACTTGAGTCCGACCTCAATATTTTTGCAGCTCCTGAGGCTGGGTCCAAGTGGAGATACTGAAGATTTAGCCAGAGTTGGGGCCAAAGCCTTGGTTTAGATTCGATCTCCGGTCCTAAAGTTCTTGGTCAGAATCCGTCAGTCTTCTACCTGGTCGGGCAAATCAAACCCCTTATCGTACCAGTTGTCACGAGTTGAGAATAGGGTTCGCCAATAGTAAGCAATTTTTACGAAGGTAAACTTACACCTAGGGCCAAGCTAAGCCAACATTTACCTAAGTATAACCTTGCTTGACGTCTGACTAAGAAATGTGACAGCTGTGGAATTACAGGGATGCGCTGATAGCCTTGACGAAGGTCTTGTGGGCTGGAGCTAATAATATACCTTGCGCAACGTACCCCAGACCTTATTCAACCCATAAACAGGTCCCGATTGACCCAAGGCGAAAACAACAGAAGCGACACAAGCCCACCCAGTCCAACACAGCGCAATGATGAACGGAAATGGTCGTACGGAATGGCCATACGTTTCAATGTATCACGCAGTATACATTGTATTATATACTTCACTGTATCACGCAGAGGTGTGAGACAGAGGATCCGAAGGCCCCGTGGTCTCCCTCCAACGCGACGGGCGTAGTCTCGCAACGTGGGCGAGCTGGGACGGGGGTAGGGCTGGCGGAAGGGGACTGAATCGTTAAAAATGAGGAACCCCTTCCCTCGCCGAATGCCCCAACGAATGTATTTCTCCCCGGATTTTTGTTTTCCAAAGTTGGAAAGTGGGTGCAGGAGAAGGGCTGTAGTCTCCTAATTAAATTTGCAGCTATACCCCTCCTCTCACGCCGTTAGCATTGTAATGCACTGGAGAAAATCAGCCTGAGAGTGGGCTTGCCCCCCCCCCCCCCCTTAACACACGTCTCCCTTTCTAACGCAGCCTGCATCTCTGGTGGTGTGCTGTGAATCAACATGCTTGTAGCGACCAGCCAGATGCAAATTGCTATTGATACCCGACACGAGGTAACATGTTATCTATTGATACCCCACATGAGGTGACATGTTATCGGCCGTCTTCTGATGACAGTGAATTCTTATCGATGGTCAGCTTCTAAACGAGGCTCGATTATCCGGAGGCTGGCGACCATTGCCGACTGCTGGCAGCCGCAGCAGAACGTAGATGCTGCCAGATTCGCTAAATGCTTGTTCGTGAGACTGCGACGGGCAGGTTTCCGTCATCCGGGGAACCGGTTCCCATAATCTGCCTAAGACCTCACCCGGACCAGGGCTTAGGGGGCCGGACAAGGACTCGATGGTAATGTATGATAATTCCCGTCTTGCCCTAGAATATCAGCAACACAGCTGTTCAGTGAGCTTAGGTAAATAGCAGGTGGCTCTCAATTATGTATGACCTTTGCATGTGCCCTTATCCTCGCATCGTCGCACTTCGTGGTCATGACCAAAGTCGTTAAACATCCCGGATGCACGCGAATTACGTCAACGAATGCGATGTGCTTTCGGTGACATCAGACCCCCGGCCTGGTCCCGCCAAAGCTCTGCACCTGCAGCTGTGCCGAGGCTTATGGCTCAGCTTACGAATAAGCCACTTTTGGGTTTAGTTCCGATCCTATGCCAGGATCCCGAACTGCTGCAAATTGATCGCAGATGACGGCTAGCAGGGATGGAATTTCACCCTAGCAAAACTGAGCTGTTACATATGTCCCATCAGTGGCTTAGTTTCACAAAATGAGCTGAAGTGGTTGGGCTGAGCCGTGAAAAATGACCCAACTTGCCCCAAAATATGCCAACAAACAGGTCTCGCTGCATATTTGGCCCGCTCTCTTTCCTTAAAGATGGAAGGGGGGGGGGGGTGTGCTAGAGTTCAAGACGGAAGGGTGGGGGCTGAAGCTCCGCCCCTCAACTCAAAAGCAAACTACGCCTCTGTGCCTCATGGTGCAGCAACCGCAAATGTTTCGCGGTTCGCTTATGCAGAGATCCTGCCGAAGTTAAACACGAACCAAAACCAAAAGGAAAGCTTGGGACTTTTTAGTCCACGTCCATTATGATGCATGCATGTCATGTGACCATGGAAGTGGTAGCGTGTGAAGCTGCCCGCGCTCTTTACACGTGTGCGGGTGGGCGGCCAATCTGATTCCCCTCCTCCCCCCCCCCCCCCCCGGGAGGTTTTCCTGAATGATCTCCGTACGGCGCGGCAAAGCCGCGCCAAACATTGCATAATTGTAAAATACTGAATAGCATGTAGCAAATATAGCTTAAAAAGGCTATTAAAAATACAATATGTTGCAAATATACAGCAAAATGTAGGATATTGAATATCATGGCACCAAACAAATTGGATGTACTTTGAAGGATCGCTAATCTTTAACAACTCGAAGTCAGGCCATGGCTGTCAGCGAAGGCCATTTCCAAGGAATTCTTCAATTTGATGCGACACTGGAGTGCTGGACGAAGGCATACATCTTTGAGATAGTTTCCTAGCAATAAAACAATTGACTTATGGCTTACAACCGATTTCATTGACCGCGGGTGCTGTCTGAACGCCAGACCTAGCTCAAAATTTGCTTGCTCTATGACTGGAGACATTGCTCCGTGAGGCAGTTTTCGGTGCTCATTTCGGATTTATTGACGACAGGGACTGCGCCAGTCTTGTTTCATGGACTTTCTAAAGGTCAAAATAGGCCATTGGCCTAAACTGACCCAGGTCAGCATTTTGCTTGCCCAAACATCTCGCCAAGCGTAGTTCCTGACGCCTAATTTAACGGCAAATAGGAGCAATCTGACAGGCGTTTGGTCACTTTGGTTTTCTAGAAGTAAAAATAGGTTGACAAATAGACACCATTGAAGTTTTTTTGGAACAGACATCTAGGTCGCGGTGGTTGTTTGCAGCGGTCTTGGGTCACTCCGAACACTTACATGTAGTTTCATTTTTTTTAGCCCTATTTAAGCGCTAGGTCATGACGTAGCAATCCCAAATTTTGGCAAAGAGAGTTCGCGTACAGACCAACGCACCCTGTGGATTTGGAGCCTCTGGCTATCTTAGTTTTCGAGGTTTCGGAGAGGGGAAGGGATGTTCAAATTGACCCCCCCCCCCCCTCCCACCAGAGCGAAGGGTATTCAATCGCCCAACCGGGTGCGTATCAGCGAATGCAGTTCACTGCTGTGTTATACCGTGTTTGGCATGTTCATCGCGTGGGAAGCTCGGCTCGGCACCTTCAGTATGTCCCGGAGAAATGACGATCTTGCCAGGAGCGTCACCAGCGCATCAAAGAAGGCCGGCTAGGAAACACTGCTGGAATGGTTGATGCGGTCAGAGGGCGGCACTCATAACTATGTTCATGTCATGGATGCCCAAGAGCATGGAAAATATGCAGTCCTTAATATCGAAGAGATAAAACCTTCGAGCGCCGGGAGCACTCTTAGGCCATAACACTGCGATGATGCGGGACAGAGAAGTAAAGGAAGGATCTCCTATTGTATTGTACCTGGTTTCTTGAAGTTCTAAAATGCGATAGATTGACTTCCATGGTCCCTCTTGTAGGTACCATCCTGCGGCGGAGCAGATATGTTTCAGACAGCCGCTGTGCGACAGTGGAAACCGCTTCGACAAGGAGAGACAATGCCAGTGAATCTTCAGAGAGGAAGTGAATGTGAATGAAGGACATCTGAGTCCTGTCCTCTGGAGTCCGGTTGTCATGTCCACAGCGGGAGTGCTGGCTAGTGTCAGCATCTCATTGCATCTCATCTCATTCTCAAATATGACGGTTGAGAAAGGTCATCCGTATGTCTACGTTGTGAACGCTGCCGTTGAGCGGGTACGGCACCCTGACCACTGGGTGCCAGGTACGTGCAATCGTGCAATCGTGCAATCGTGCCTCGAAGCTGGGCTTATATGGTCCGTCGTTGATGATCAATTGGCCGCTGTCCAAGAGGGACAGGTTGAGGTAACGGTGGCCCTGCCATGGCATCGCTGAAACTCTCTTATCAGAAACTGGCTAAAACATTGGGCCATTAAAGGTCTTTGAAGATATTGACGCAAGCATCAGATATGATGAAATAATTTCTCTCAAACTTTTGTCAAACTTTTAAGTGGAAAAGCCTACCTTCTTTAGACAACACAATTCCCCTGTTTAATAATCATGCTCCTCAATACATAAATGGTTGATTACGTTATCGTACCTTGCAAAGCGTCAATTTAGAGTCAATTTAAGCCCGTTATAACTGGAAATCGTGCTCAAGAGCGCCAGATATTAAGTACTCGACAGTCATATTCTTCTTAGCCTTTATTGCCGCATGGCTAATGTGGTGGCCGGTTTTGAATGATGTTGTATGGATACCTGGGTAGCTTTGAAAAGTCTCCTCGAAATAGTCTGCACATCTTTGTGGGCGTGTGGCTCGGAAACTAGAGGAGGTTAAGTCTTAAGAAGGGCATGACTGTGAACTGCACCGAATGATCCTCAATATGTCTATTTCTGTTCAAAACCCTGAGCAAGTGTGGAACACTCCCTTTAGGTCTTCCCTTATACCATAGAATTTAATCTTATGACCTTATTAGGATGTAGATATTCAAACGGTAGTCGAAAATCTTGTCCAGCAGCACCCAGGTGTTGCAAAACTGGTATATGTATCTGTCATTTGACAAATGACGTCACTGCCGACGCAAAACACTAAAAATTGACCGGAGCTTTCGCATAATTTCAAGGCCTAATAGCGCTTGTAATCACTGTATAGTCAGCAAAGCCTGCGACTGGCAAACGACAGAGTCTTCACCTGTGCATGGAACCCTACAATGATGACTGCTGTCAACGAAACTTGGGTTGGTGGCCATATTAGGCTTGGGTCAAGCAGAGCCAAGATCATGTCAACTCATCGACGATCATTTTTCCACTGTTCTGGTCCACATAAAAAGGCGGGCAATGGTTTAGAAATGCGTGATTTTAGTTATAAGGACTTGCTTTTCAAAAAATGGACTCGCAAGCCACTTTGTTTCGACACAAGTTGATATCAAAGACCTTCTGTTGGTTGTCTGTCGCAACATCGCACAGTGTGACTAACATCTACTGGTACACAGTCAAACCGATCGAGGAATAATGGCAATGCAATACAAAGTTAAAGGGAAGCTACAAATTGCCGCATGAGCAGGTAAAATATCTGTGTAAGCATTCGGTGAGTATGTCACAATTTTGTGGCGTAACCCGACGTGGGGACGCCTGCCAAAAGCATCGAACTGATCCCCTAATGAAAACTGAAACCATGGCGCACCTACCTAGAGCGGCTTCGATTTTCCCAGAAACTCGTTGGGGGATGACCTTCTACCTCGGTGGCGGACGCGGGGCAAAAGCGAACGTGTGCCTGTGTGTCTGTTTTGAGGCCAGACGCTGGCGCGCAGCTCATTCATCTGACACAAACTTATCGTGAAGCCGTCTGTGCGGCACAAACGGCTGCGCGGACCATGACACACTGCACGCACGTCAGATTCAGCCTCTGTGACGGTCCGCGAACAAAGTTACACCTTTTCGACACCGTTGTCGGACAGAGCGCGTGCTTAAAGCGGGTACGTTTCGACATCCAACAGCAAGGCACTTTGTCTTTTTGCCAAAGGAGTAAGAGTTACTGAGCGACATGTAGGAGGCCTGAGCTGTTAAAATACCGATTGCTTTCTTTTAATAAACGACCTTATTTTCAAAGACTCAGCGTTTGCAAATTCCGGTCCTCGCTCATAGCGCCTTTTTATTTTGATGCACAGCTGGTTTGGCGTTTAATGCTGAAAGCATACAGCACGGTCAAGGGCAGACCCGAATTAATTAACCCCACTGGAGCCAGGAGTCAGTGTTTTTTCAGTGCAACATGGTCGTACCACTAATGGGGTCTGTGCGGCCGGAACCGGAACACATGTTGGGATTAGTTTCTTTATATTTCAACCGCACAATGTTAGGGACGTTGGCTGCCGTGTGGCATTCGTCGCCATCAGCGGCCGCGTACTGGACGCCGGCCAGCACGCCACCTGCCACATCGGAATCGTTTATTTCAGCCGTCGGGCAGGAAGATTCTGCGCCACTGCCCAGCTGCAGCAACCCTGAGGAGACAAAGTCTTTCATGGACCCGAGCGGCTGTGACAAGGTGAGGCCGGCCGGCTGCTACACGTGCACCCAGTCTCCCATGTGCGCCCATTCTCTGCAAGCTTATTGTAAAATGTACTTGGCTGCGTGGCGATGGTGGAGCCGTGGCATTATTCAACGGAGGTCGCACTGGCACAGTTCTGTGCGTGCCTCTGTCAAGTGCATGTGGCAGCAGCATGTGCAGTTAGCGTTATTCGATGGTGCGTCACAGTTTATGAAACTACGGACACTGAGAAGCTACCACTCTGCACCCTCCGCAAAACCATTCCCGTTCGGGTGGCCGGTGACCACCTGGTTGGCCTCCCCTGCAGCTGCTGCGCTCGCCCTCACTGGCCGTCTCCCCTTTGCAGTACATGCTCTGCTCGAACGGCACCCTGTCGTTCGAGACCTGCGAGAACGGTCTGCTCTACTCGGGCAAGGGGGCCGTCCACGAGTTCTGCGACTACCACTGGAGGGTCGACTGCGGCGAGCGGCCGTTCGAACGTCAGTGGACGAGTCGCCGCAGCGCGCGCTCGCAGAAAATAGCGGCGCAAAACAACACGGTTTGACTATAAGACGAGAGGGAGTGGAGGAGTGTTTTCCGAACGATGTCCGGAATATAACATTCCAAACGCGCAATGAGCGATCAAGATTCAGAGACACAACCCGAAGCGGAACGCAAATACTGCATAATGCATTTGCGCTGCGTGTGAGGCGTGCAACAACGCGAAACGAGAGCCCTTGCCGAGCAGAAGCATTGCTACTGTTGACACTGCCCTGTCCTGTAGCCCCCCCCCCCCCCCCTCCCCCCCCACTTCGCCCCGCCCTGCAGCCCCGCATCTGTTTTCTCATCCATTGTGTACATAATATCTGTCAACCAGCGACATAGTCCCTTGGTCAAGATGTTTTTTCCTTATTTTTGCCGGAAGTTTTTTCGTTGCACTATGATAAATCTGCCAGCCTTGTTAATTAACGCTGCAAGTATTTGTGTAACGGGCGTTGCATGATTATTTGCAGTCGACGCGCCTTAAAACGCCAAATCATCATGATAATTAGCATGTGCCAAACGAAAGGCAGACAACCCGTCATGATAATGTCATCACAAGGACATTTTGACCTGCTGCGTTCCGGCCGAATGCGAGGTCCTTAAGTGGCAACACTCAGGTGCTTATGATTTTGGTGGTTGACAACAGAATGTAATTTTCTGCTCAATCCAGAAAAAAGAAGTGGGACAATTGTCAAGCCGAATCTCTTTCCCTTCTTCCAGGTTTGCTCAGTTCATAAAATAATTTCGTTGTTTCCTTTTATGATCAGCGTGTCATCACTTTCTTCGCTGTCCACCAACTCGCATTGAATAGTTTAACCTGCCACCGCCATGACGATCATTTTGCAACCTTTATAAAAAGCTTAAGTTCAGTCTTGTGCCTGGATGAAACAGCGTATTGGAAATTTACTTTTCTGCTGCACGACAACGAACGGTCAAAACCCGTAACACAACCAGGTCAGAGGCTTGGAAAGAATTTCTCCAAGCCGCTCGCCGCTGTAAGCGTGCACCATACAGCAGGTCTTCGTTTGGGTCCGCCGCCGCAGCATGTTAGCGGGTCCCAGCCGAACTCTTTGAGTGGCCTGCTGTCTGCCGCAGTCGATGTGGTCTGTTACCACCGCAGTGGCCCGACTCTCTAATGGCCCAACTGATATGGTCCGAGTATGGCCGCAGTGACCAACCCCCTCGCCCGCGGTGACCGACGCTCTCTCGCCTGCGGCGACCGACGTCCTCTCGCTCGCAGTGACCGACGCCCTCTCGCCCGCGGTGACAGACGCTCCCTCGCCCGCGGTGACCGACTCCCACTCGCTCGCAGTGACCGACGCCCTCCCGCCTTGCAGTGACCAGCTCCCAACTGCCTGCAGTGATCCCACTGCCCACCGCCCACAGTGAGCGAATCCCGCGAGGGGGCGTGCCCCTATAGCTTCGGCGTGTTCCCGTCGGGCGAGGGGTGCGCCGACTACTTCCTCAAGTGCGCGTTCGGCGAGGTGGAGCCGGAGATATGCGACGAGGGCCTGGCGTACGACGACCGAAGCCACGCCTGCAACTGGCCCGACCTGCTGCCAGAGTGCTCCATCGGAGATGCCGAGCGTGAGTGACGCGGCATGGCACGCTCGGTGGGAGGGGCGTGACACTCAGAGGAGGGGCGTGACACTCAAAGGAGTAGCGTGACACTCAGAGGAAGGGCGTGACGCTCAGAGAGGGGGGGGGGGGGGCGTGACGCTCAAAGGAAGGGCGTGACACTCAGGGGAGGAGCGTGCCACTCAGAGGAGGGACGTGACGCTCAGAGAGGGGGGGGGGCGTGACGCTCAAAGGAGGGGTGTGACACTCAGGGGAGGAGCGCGCCCCTCAGAGGAGGGGCGTGCCCCTCAGAAGAGGAGGGGCGTGACTCAGAGCAGGAGCGTGACGCTCAGAGCAGGAGCGTTACACTCGGAGCAGGTATGTTACACTTAGAGGAGGAGCGTGACGCTCAGAGGAGGGGCGTGACACTCAGTGGGATACATGACGTTCGGCGGGAGGAATTTGACTATCAAAAGAGGCGTGGGACGCTCAAGGAAGGGCGTGATAATCAGGGGAGAGTCATGACGCTCAGTGAGAAGCGTGACCTCCAGTAAGAGGGGCTTGACGATAATGAGGAGTGTGCGCTCAGAGGACGAGTGTGACTCTCAGAGGAGTGTGACGCTCAG